TTCACCTGGCGACAGTGGGACACCAAACGCCAGGCGGGATGCCATGCCCGCGTGCCTGCCATGCCCCAAACCACCCTGGCAAACACGCGCTGCGAGGCGGAGACAGGCAGTGGCTTGGGGTCACAAAAAACTCGGGGCCATCCCCCATGGCACCTCGGGGACAGCCCAGCCCGGCTTTATCAGCCTTGTCACAAGTCAACTCCCAAGGTCAAGCAGCCCAGGAGGGTTTTCGGAAACATTGGGGGGGGGAGATAAGCATGAGATGGGTGAACTGTGCCCAGGTGAGAAGGCAGCACCACCCCTGCTGTCCCACGGGTGAGGGTGGCACTGCCACCCCAGAGCAGGCAGCCGGGGATCCGCACTCCCTGCCCAGCTGCTGGAGAGGAGCCAGCAGAGCATCCCCCAAATTTAGGCCATTTAGCCAGAAAGGGGCAAGAGGAGACATGTCCTAGAGGGGCAAAGACACCAAACTCCTTGGGGACCAAGGGATGTGAAGAGAGGGGACGCTCAGGACTCCTCGCGGCTTCTGAACGACCCACCCCTGGGCGCTGGAGCCAAACTCTGTCCCCCGCTGGTGGCGGCAGCCCTCAGCTCTCCGCACAGCCCCCCGCTGTCCAGCCCTGCCGGCCGGGAGGTGGGGAAGGAGCAGCGGCGGAGGCGCGCAGGAGCCAAACGCTGCACCCACCTCTCCCGGCGCCAAGGGCCGCCAGGCCAGCGCTGCTCCTCCCCTCTAGTCTTCTGCCTTCGCCTTCGCCCCGCTCTCCCTGCCCAGGGGACGTTGGGGGCTCAGGCCCGGCCCCCACGCCGGTCGGGGAGAGACCCAACGGCTGCCCAGCCTGCGCGAGGGGAGAGAAGAAGGGCCCTGAGACCCCCCACTGCCCTCCCCACGGGCATGGCCGGCGAGAGGCGGGTGATACCAGGGCAGTGGTGGGGTCTCTCCCCCAGCCCCACGGTGGTATTTTTGGTGGTGGACGGTGCGTGGGGCTGAGCGAAGCCGAATCCCACCGGCAACACCAGTTAGTGCGCGGTTTGGGAGGCGACACGAGTGGAACGCCAGAGAGAAGTGAGGTGCCCAGGCTCAAGATGGCAGAAGAGCTCCAGGGAGAAGCCACACAGCCGGGCGGCTCCCTCCCTCCTGCCCATGGGA